ACATCTTGAAACAGCTGCAGGGCCTGGGGTTCAATCTCCAGCACGATTAAGAAATAAAAAGACTGAGTGTGAACTACATGTTCAGACAAACAGAACCACCAGGTTACTGCATGTCCTAGTCAGCTGTCTGTTGCTGTGAAAATTTCTGGTTAAACAGCTTCAGAGATTTGGGCTCACAGTACAGAGGCTGCAGCCCACGTCACTTCACTCTGTCCCTTTGGGCTGATGGCAAGACAAAATAGGTGGAGTATGTGACAGCAAAGTTGTTCACCACAGGGTGGCTGAGATGCATGGAGGAGGGGCAGGGCCCTCATCCCTCTTCAAGAATTCCAGTGACCGAACTTCCACGAGGCTCCACTTCCTAAAGTTTCTACCACATCCCTACAGCACCATCAGCCAGAGACCAGGCCTCTAATACACGGCCCTTTGCGGGGATTGAAGATCCAAACCATAACACTACTCCAAAGATGTTGGTGAAAATTACTAAGGATATAAGAAAAACAAGTGAATTTAATGAGCACAGTACAACCATAAGGACTGAGTAAAGAAAGGGAAGACAGTTGACTCAAAGTAATAATTATTTTAAGATATGAACCATCTTAAAATGATGGAAAGTGGACATACCAAATCCATATATGAAAAACATGCTAACGAAACACATCCTGTTTTAATTTTCTGACAATGGATATACAATCATATCCTATTGAGGGGGGAGGGTGACAAGCTTTAGTCTCTTTTATACAATGTGACTTTTCCAGCCATACCTCAACCCAACAAGCCTTCTGTGTGACTGTGTTCATGTGCTTGTGTGCCCATACAGATGCATGCACAGACCAGAGGTCTACTTCACTGGGTATCTTTCTCTGGAACATTCCATCTTATTTTTTAAGATCTAAGTGAAGCAGAGCTTGCTGAGTGGTGGAGCTGTCTGCTTCCTAGTGCTGGAATACCACTCCACCGCCATGCCTGGCTTTTTATGTGGATGCTGAGGATCCGAACTCACACCCTCGTGCTTGTCTATGAGGTATCCCTGGGGCCAGCCATCTCCCCAGCCCCAGAATAAGACTTTGAAGATGCCTTCATTTTACTGACATGTTTACATATAAATTGCTCATTTGATAAAATATTTACAAATCAGGCAGAGAAGGATCTCTACCCACAATGCTCAGCACACTTTGTTCCCACCGGACCATAAAAGTTAATTGCATAGGCACTTTCTTCCACATCCTCCAACCTTTTCCCCATTTCTGCCACCAACCAAGATAGCTCTTTATTGCTCTTCATGACCTCATCTCCTCCCTTTGAATATACTGTATGCTCTTTAAAGATAAGGATGTTGATCTGTGTCCATTTGTAGCATTTTGCATAACACACAGCACACGTCTCTGCTGAGTGAATGAATAGCTTTATGGGTTAGATATTTTTCAAGTAACTCACAATTTATTTTCAAATCATATTGTTGAATTCAAATGATTCAAAATCAATGTGATGCTGTAAGATGTTCCCATTTTTCAAACAACTCAAATAAACATACAACTCACATTTTAAGTAATATAAGCAAAATAAAAAATGTCTTTAACAATGCCTTATATTTTGCTTAAGTACACTACTACAGACACATAATAGTTCATTATTTCCATTTTCTGTTTCCCCCAATCTGAAACTATAAAATATTGTTACATATTTTTGAAAAATCAAACTCGGACATATTCCTTCATCAGTTTTATGATGAAGAGAGAGGTAATTAACTCTGGAACATTGGAAATTAGTGTTGGAAAAATGAGTTTAGAATCAAAAGCTGGTGTGTTTGAGTATAAGAACACAGATAGCACAAGTGATTTAAATTCCTCGAAAAACTTCACAGTTCTCTAGCCATACATTTGGCAGGAGGAGGAACTGCCAGCCAGTATACACCAGTGACTGGTTGCTTACATTTCAAAGATCAAAGTACTTGGCGGGTAGCCTAGGAGGAAACACTCAGATAAAGACATATAATTACGATGAGCCTTACACCTTTTGTCCCTGAAAAACAAGATCCTAATTTTGGTTACTGCTTAGCCACAATATAGAAAATCTGAACTATTCATGCAAAATAGACAAAATAGCTTTATGATTTTCACAGAAAACCTGAACCGCCTGTGCAATACAGAGTGACTTCAGTTTTGTTTTACCTTTATATATTCTTAAATAATTTATTTTCAAATCATACTGTTTAAATTCAGATAGTTAAAATTAATGTGATGCTTTAGGTCCGAGATGTTCCCACCACTGGCACAACCAAATGAAAGCATATGGTTCACACACATGTCCAGATGACCATTTTTCAGAACTGAAACTCTATTAGGTATTTATGACTCATGTTCTATCACGAGTCATCCTTAAATGGATACTGTATTAGTGTTCTGGCATCAATATGGTTTTCAGGGGCAGGGCATGGCGGCACACGCCTTTAGTCCCAGCACTCGGGAGAGGCAGAGGCAGGCAAATCTCTGAGTTTGAGGCCAACCTGGCCTATATAGCAAGCTCCAGCACTACAGAGACTGTAGTGGGTAGCCATTCCAGCTTGGATCTGGAAGTTCCAACCCCCATTGAGACTCTGGCAACTGTCACGCCTACGAGGCGGGGCGAGGGGAGGTGCTGGAGACCCTAGAGCTGGATGGGCCAGCGCTCTCTCTGGGCGCTCTGTGCCTGGACCCTGGACGGTGGAGACTGACTGTGCAGAGCTCCAGAGAACACCGCTGGATTGCGATACACCTTCCCCAGACCCCCGCAACCTATCCATTCCTTCATTTGTAAGTCATCCACTAAATAAATCTTCCTTTTAACTATGTGGGGTGGCCTTTATAATTTCCCTAATAAGAGACCCTGTCTCCAAAAAAAGAAAAAAAAAAAGTCTTTAGAATATACAGCATATGAATCTATCTTATTAGAGACCTTGGTCCTTCTGGTGTATATAGTCTCTTGGATGGAAATTCAAGGTAAACTCATGGAATAAATCCCAAGTAACAGAATGCTGCTGAGTAAGGCACCTATTGATTTTGGAAACGTAATAAACTAAAAACCTTTTTTAAAATGTTTACTTGGAAAGAAATTATACACAAAGTATTTCTACCTTGGGTCACTGAATTAAAATATATCTGTCACACACACACACTACTGATAACTTAGCTTTTCATTTTAAGCAGTTACTTGGGTAGTATTTTTGAAAGATCTGTGTGTATGTACCATGTGTATGACTGGTGCCTCCAAGTCAGAAGAGGACATTGGATCCCCTGGAACTGAGTTACAGATGCTTGGGCACCACCATGTTGGTGCCAGGCCCTGAATCTGGATCCTCTGCAAGAGCAGCTAATGCTCTTAGCCACTAAGCCATCTTTTCAGCCCCCAAAAGACTCATTTTAAAAGGGTATCCAATAACTTAAGGATTTGGAGTAAAAGAATATTTTAACTGGACAAAGATGTGTTACATTATGCTGAAGAATATTACTTTAACTGTGTAGAGGTATGTTACTTTTGTTTATGTTGCCATTTGTTTAATGATGTAAAGATGTGTTGCATCTCTTTCACCTTGCCTGCCTAAGGCACCTGATGGTCTAATAAAGAACTGAACGGCCAATAGCTAGGCAGGAGAAAGGATAGGTGGGGCTGGCAGAGAGAGAAACTAAATAGAAGGAATCTAGGCTTGAGAGGAAGAATGGGGGGCAGAGCAGGGGTCAGAAGCCAGGCAGCCGCCAGCCAGCCATGGAGAAGCAGTGAAAGTAGGACAGACAGAAGGAAGGAAGGTGAGGAGCCCCGAGGCGAAGGGTGGATAAAAAGAGACAGAAACGTGCCTAAGCTAGGCCGAGCATTCAAAACTAATAAGTCTCTGTGTCATGATTTGGGAGCTGGTAGGTGGTCCCAAAGAAAAAGCCTGGTACAAAAGAACAACAGAATCACTTAAAAATTCCATACATGAAATTTTTCTTTTCTGTGCATGATCCCTTCACAAACTGACTCCATAACTGTCCTTCCTCCCCAGTGAGAGTGGAAGATGATCACAAGCTCTAGCTAGGATCTGGATACATAAGCAAAGAAAGGTTTGGTTTTTGTTTTCTCACATTGTCAAAGTAACCCTTCAAAAAACCAGGTTTTAAAAAACCATAAAGGTGATACCAAAGTTTCCCTCAGAGTAGCTTGGCCAGCTCATTGCACAGATTTAAAATATAACATATATTTAAAGATTTATGCAATATGAAAATGTATACATTTCCAAATTTAAAAGTTACCTATATATTTAGCATTATATACCATCAATGTAATTATAGGCTTTCAGTTCGAATTCTACACAAGTTTTAGCAGGCAAATCAGTTGTTTTCACATAATTCTAAATGAGAAAACCATCCAATCAGGAACTACTAAGCCTTACTTAGAAAAAAGATCTACTGTGTTGACTTAACAGACTATAGTTCTAAGTTGAAAATTTCTGAGCAAATTAGTTTTTCAAGGCCTATGTTACAGAACACTGACATACATACAAGATCTCCGTTAAAGAGAGACAGAGTGGGTAACAACAGGCCCAAGTTTACAGCCTAAGAGCCTCTGGGTGCTGCAGGGCGCACCACGGCGTCTTTGCAAACGTTGTTTTTAAACTAGTATGAAATTACACTGAATGTTCCCCTCAGACTTGGCTTTACTCGCTCCTTGTCAGTAATTAATAGGCACAGATATCACATCTTACTTAGCTGACTCTTAAGCTGTCTCTCCAGAGCTCACAGTGCCGAGTGCGTGGTATGAGTCAACAGAGCTAGTGAACACTCCTGAGTGAGTAGCAACACACTGAGAAGGACTGAAGAGGACAGTAGTTGCTTTTCTAAAACTCCCAAACAATAATGGTAAAGCATCAAGTCTCCTTTTCAGATTCACTTGGGCTTGCCTTTGTAAATAACAGGTGAAGAAACATGACACAGAGCACATGGTCAGATTATAGTTAAGCTGTAAGAAGACACAAGATTAAGTTTCCATTTGTGGATCAAAGAATGAATTTTATTTACATTACTAGTAGAGCCCAGCTGCTGTAGTTACTCTGAGATAGATTATTTTGCCAATGACAGGAAAAAATATCTTCCAGTATCTATTTTAACAACTGTAATTTAATTGCTTAGTTATAGAAGTATAGAGTAAGAAGCAATTAATAAATCTTGGAAATAAAAAATATGTATATATATCACCCTGATGCCTAAGCCAAAATATATCTAAAAACAAATTTTCTTGATTTCTATTACTCATAAAAATAAAGGAAATATATTGCAAGTATTTTTCTTTATAGACAATTTCAGTTAGAAAACAATAGTTTAATGAGAACAATACAGTGGTTCCTGTGAGTGTGCTGATGCAGAGGCAAGAGAAGTATTCAAAACTTGACAACACATTGCCTCAACCACACTTCTTATAGGCAATAGCTAGATTTTTTACACATCTCAATTTTATCTTATGAATTTTTTATCTTATGTTTGAGATAAATACAGGTCAGTAAGTTATGAGCTTGAGTTGTAGTTAAGAACCCCTTCTTTTGGCTTGCAGGATGTAGCCTTTTGACTTGATGATTCCTCTGCTTTTCACGATGACAGAGTATCTCAGCAGCCACAGCGGCACCCACTCCTGGGCTTCAATGTCAGGGATGCTTTCCTGAAGAGCTTCTTGGAAACTTGCCTCAGAAAGCAGCTCTAAAACAGCAACCCCCAACAAGTTAGATCTGCAGACAAAAGCTCTTTACTATGTAAGTAAGCATTTAAACACAACAAAACTGAATACAAGGTCAGGAAATTAGCTGGCTGGTGAATGCTTGCCTAGAATGTACCTGGTATTGTTTGCCCCATCCACATGAACCAGCTCTGATGGCACAGAGCTGGAACTCAGCACTTGGGGGTGGAGGGAGGAGAATCAGAAGTTCAGGTCATATAGATAGATAGATAGATAGATAGATAGATAGATAGATAGATAGATAGATAGATAGATAGATAGAGTGGCCTCCAGCCAGCATGGCTGCAAATAGACACTGTCTCAAAAAACAAAACTGAATATAAAATACATGTATCATCTAAACTGAACTACAATATTAAACATGACCAGTTCTTTTAAAATGCACCCCTGTAACCCAGCCTCTTGAATTCGTAACTTCTGGTTAGTGGAGCCTAGAGTATGCAATCTTTGAAGATCTCCAGGGGACTATAATGTACAACCAGAGAAATACAAGAGAGTAAGAAGAAAATAAATCATTTCTAACCCTATTTACAGCATTTCTATTACTATATATTTCATCAGGACTTTTTCTAGAATATATTCATCTACACAGAGAGAGACAGACAGACAGACACAGAAAAAGAGAGAGACAGAAGAGACAGAATGATTCACACAATACTGTATTTAATTACATTGGAAAATATTAACAATATATGCAAAAAGGTGTAACTACAGGAGAATTTAACTCCCCCATTAGTATATTTTGGTATATATCATAACAAATTCCTCATCATGGCAAAAAAAATCTAGTTTTCCATACTTTGAACTTTTGCTGTTATAGACTATAGAAGTATAGAACTCTATACTCTTTGTTGTCGAGTATAGAAGATATTTAAGTATATTCATCAGAGCATTACTCCCATTGCTTTCTTTCTTATGTATACAGTGATATGTCTGCATGTACACCTGCAGGCCAGAAGAAGGCACCAGATCTCATTACAGATGGTTTTGAGTCATCATATGGTTGCTGGGAATTGAACTCAGAACCTCAGAACCTCTATAGGAGCAGCCAGTGCTCCTAACCTCTGAGCCATCTCTCCAGCACATCCACTGCTTTCTTAAAAAGAAAAAAGTGGGGTCTAGAGAAACGGTTTATTCACTCTCATGCTCTTGCATAGGATCCTGCCAACTGACTTACAACTCCACCACTGCAGAGACAAGAATAAAGATGTGTGCATTTTAAATTAACAATAATATCTCCATTTGACAACACTGCACATTTATCACAGCACACACCTAAAATTTCAACACTTTTCTTTTTTCAAATTTGTGTGCAGTATGTTGGGGATCAAACCCAGGCCGTGCACATTCTAGACAAGCATTCTATCATTGGCATGCACCTCCAGCCCACTAAACAAATAGCTTTGTCCTTCCAAAAGCTCATGATCAATACCTATAGCTGAAAATATCAGTATTACCTTTTGGGTCATTATGAGTCAGTAGCTGTATGTCAAATTTTTTAGCAAATGCAGTCAAATCTGGTGGCATCACGCAGCAGGAGGCAAGATTAACTTGATTACTATTTGGTTTTACCTAAAAGTGGAAATAAAATGAACTGTATTAAATTATGTCATATAGAACACAGAAAACAGAAAACTGGGGTTGGGGATTTAGCTCAGTGGTAGAGCGCTTGCCTAGCAAGCACAAGGCCCTGGGTTTGGTCCTCAGCTCCAGAAAAAAAAAAAGCAGAAAACTACTATTCATAGTAGCTAAGAAACAGAACCAGCCTACAATGTGCTACAAAGACACCATGGAGTTCTAGTCACCATAAAAGAAAGGAAGCTATGATACAGGCAGGAAAAGAATGGACTTAGAAACTAGTATGTGAGGTGAAATAAGCCGGACTCAGAAAGGCAATACTGCACGTTTCTCTCACATGTGGGACTTTTGATGTTTGGCTCTGTGTATGTGTGCGCATGTGTCTAGGTCATGTAGCTAGAAAGGGGAGGAAGAGATCTTGAGGGGCTGGAAGAGAATAATGGAATACAATGAGGAGCAAAGGAAGGAGCCCCACAAGGAAGAGTGGTGAGAGGGGAATTAATCACATCTTAGCATAATGACATATGTGTGGAAATGCTATAATGAAGCCCATTGCTGTATGTTTAGTTAGACAGTTTTGTGTCTTTGTCTGCACATATGTGTGTAGACCAGTGCAGGTGGAAACCAGAGGTTGGTATCAGGTGTCTTCCTCAGTTACTGTCTGAGTAATTCCTCCATATTGTCTGAGATAGGGTCTCTCACTGAACCTGGAGCTCACTAATTCAGCTAGACTGGCTGGCCATCCATCCATCCATCTCCCGGGAATCTTCCTGTCTCCGCCTTCTCCAGATGTGCTGTCACAGGCAGGTGTTGCCTTGCTAGGTATTTTTACATGTGCTTTTTTGAATGCTAGGAATTGAACTCAGGTCCTCACGCTAATATAGCAAGTACCTAACTAACCCATTGCCCAAGCCCCCACATTTAAAAAATGACAGCAATACATTTTAGAACATAAAACTATACTTGACAATTCTTCATTTATAAAATACTTTTGCATGACTATCTGTATTAATATATGCCTTCCTAATTCATGTTAATGATAACAAAAAAAACAGTTCTAGAATGAGGGGAAAGACAATACAGAATTATATTTACCATTAAGATTCAAATTAAAGCCCACTGGAATCATTAATAATCTAGTACATCTGCTTCTGAAGCAGTGATTCTAAAGGTAATGGTTTCAGCAACAGGGAATTATCTTCAAGGTAGACACTGAATGTCAAGGTATAAATTGTGGCTACTATTCAGGCATTTAAGGAGACTCCTAACTCCCAGGAGCTGCACTGGCTAATGGTTATATACTTCCTATATAAGTAAGTCTCCAGCTGTGTCTTGGCCACATACTGCTACCAAGTCAACAAGAGAAGGAACAATGCTCTCTGTGGTCTTCCTGCTTGTCATCAACTCTGGAAGTCTGAGGAAGTAGCTGAGAATGAAATAAAAGGAATAGAGACAAGATATAGAAAGTCAAGGTAACATGCTGGTAACCTCCCTCATAATTTTGTAGGTCCTTAGAGTGAAGAGACGATGGCTTTATGATTCCTGGTCCATATTAGGTTCAACAGACTAAGTCTAATACCTCTTTACTTAATAGAAAAATACTGTTACATAGATTTTCTTACTTAAGAAATTAAAGCCATAATACCCAAAGTGTTAATATTTTAATCTCATGTAAAACTGAACAAATGGTTTTAATTCATTTGCTCTGAAAACTTAGCATTTATTTTAAGTGGGATGAATACTCAGTTCAATTAGACATATTACACTCAAAACTCCACGCTCCTAATGCTTTAGATAAAGCCTGTCTCCAAGCTTTCACATTTAGAAGTCACCCCCACAATGAACACGCACTAGATGGATGACGCTCCAGTGTGGCAAGTGTCAGGATGTGGACGCCCTTTACCTGTGCCCACTGGTACAGCTGCTCCAGCTGTGTCTTGTCTAGATCAGAGGTGCCTATAGCAACAATTTTCTTGCTCTGAACTAAGTTTTCTAGTTCCTCCCAGTAGGGCTGCAGATGCTCCAAGGAAAGATTGACTCCGTCTTCAATGGGAGGTGAGGCGATGATCACAGAGTCCAGCTGTGCAACTCCAAGGACGGAGCACGCTGGCGGGAAGAAGACACAGGGTGAATGTGTGCTACATACTCAAACAAGCTGTCTTTACCAGATCCCACTGATTTCTGTCTGGTCATTCACTAGTTCTTTGTACCACACATGACTGCATGATTTACCTGTCCCTTAGAACATGTCTGCAAGTGCTCATTCACCTACTTCTCTGTGCGGCAGACAAGAGGGTCTCTGGTCTGCCCTCTTCCTTGGGGTTTGCCTTCCTTTCTTTTTACCTAATCAGGTGCTGAAAGTGAATCCACAGTATTTGTATTTTGTTGTCTCTGATTTTAATATTTTATCTATAGTGTAATATTTAAAGGACTAATAATGATTACAGAGAAATTCTATCCTCAAGCAGATAACATTTAATACATCTTTTACATTTCTATCAAAACATCACTGTATTTACATGAAGATTGGTTCTATGCAAATCTTTAAAGTTAGGCTAGAAGTTCAAATGGTAAAATTGAAATCAACGTATTTTCTTTATCTAGATTGGTTATACCTAATTCACTTAAGATAATTAAAAATCTGTTATTATGAAAAAGATAAATTTTTGCTTACCCATGTCAACTGCACTTCTAGTTGATGACGAAGAATTCGATCCTACAATGAACAGTTTTGCTGGATAACAAAGAAAAACCTGATTACCACATGTATCCACACCTTACTGTGATCACGTGTGTCCACATCCTAGTATGCAGGATCACCATGACAGGAATTAGTCTTCTTTCCCTACTTCTGTAATTGTGTAGCTCTACTTTAAGACAGACACATGCACTTTTACTGTAAATTTTAAATTACATGCTAGTTGTCAACATGTCTGTTTCTCAAGAATAAAACAAATAATAATTTCCCATGCATTACAGGGCAGGGTAGATAAATAGGACCTGAAATTATTTCAAATGTCTATTTTTATAAGCTAAGCATTATGGACCAATTTACATGCCTTCTACAATAAACCAAATCTAAGCAAGCCTCTAAGTTCATAATGAGAAGAAAATTGGGGGAAAAAACCATATTTTATACACACACACACACACACACACACACACACACACACACACACTATAAAACATGGTATACCTTTCTTAAAGCTCTAGCTGGTTTCTCTTTTAAATTTTTAAAAATTATTTTTAATTATGTGCATGGGTAAGTGCACATGAGTGCAGGTGTTCTCCGAGCATCAGGCCCCTCTGGAGTTGTAGTTAGAGGATGTGAGCTGCCTGACATGGTGCTGGGAACCCAACTCTGGTCCTGTATAAGGACTATGTGCCCTTTCCTGCTGAGCCATCTCTGAGCCCCACTGGGTTTATCTTTGTGTGGTAAGTATTTTATATGTGTTTCTATGCAGTAATTATCTTAAAGTTTTCTTAGTAATGATGTGCTTACTCCCCAAATGAGGAAGATCAATCAAAGTAGAAAGACCAAAAAAA